GTCATGCAAAAGTCTACCGTTACCTTTTCATAAACGAAGCCCCCTGAAGGTCTTCCACATTTCTAGCACAAGATGTGACCATGTAATTGGTTTCTGTAGGATCCTGCACTCGCTCAGCATACATTCCCCTTTTTGTTTATGTCTTTAAAACACATTTGTTTTGTTTTTTTAACCCCCATTTAAAATTTGTGGAAATCAATTGAAAACCTCAGTGTCACAGCAGCTTTTTTTTTCTTTTTTTTTTTTCCTCCCTCCCTGAAAGTTCATTAACACAGATGAATGTCTGCTTCTTTTTAAAAGGCTGTAGATGAACATGCCTTAGTCCATGTTTGCCCCTGTAGAGCAGGAGAAACATAAGATATTTGTCCTGGTTATGTGGCTCCAGTTATGGCATTGAACATATCAAGTAAGGGTAAAAGCACACATGGCGCTAATGACTCTAACAATGGCTCACCAACAAATTATTAAGAAGACCCCCAGAGTGACAAACCTGTGTGATGAAGCCATCGTTGGTCATTACATTTGCACATGCTCAACCTGAAAGTTGTGTGGGGCAGTTTTCTCTTCCTCCCCCTCAGAAGACATTTTGGCATTATGTTTAGAAAAGGGATCGTACTATTGTGTAGATATTCGCTTTCAGCAGATGATTCTGAAATGGGGATATTTACATGTAAATGCACTTAAACACTCTTTATATTCTTACGTTGACTCTGCTGTCACATGATCTCACCTGTGTAAAATTCTGGGCTTTGGCCTGAGCTCTGCGGGTGGCTGCTGCTGGATCGGTGGGTGTTAAAGCCCCTGAAAACTTTGGGTTCAGAGCTCTGCATCTTTAGATATGTCACTGAACTGAGTAGGAATGACGACAAATGGTGCAGAAATGGTTTGACGTGTTGGGAAACTTGCAATTCTCGTGCATCTCTAGCTCACAACATGACACGTTCATATCATGTTTGGTTCATCTGTGTGCTACAACTCTTAAAGTCAGTCCAGTTTTCCAAATGCCAAACTGTTTCTGTTAGGTTTCAGCTTACCTGTCTCTTTAAGACCTCAGGCTGTAGTTTCATCCGATTATTCTAATAAATGTGCAAACAGCTGCCAGGATAACTTTAATTGGTTTGCTGAAATTAATGATAACTTGACATTAAATGGATTTTTAAAGAGGCTGAAAGTAGGTTTTCAGGACTTTTCAAATCAGGGAGTTGGGTCAGAGTAGCAGTCGGGTATTGCAGGCCACAGAATGTTCTTTGTAATGACAGACAGGCTGTGACACGACAGTAGCTGTATGTTAATTAAGCAGAGTACTGTGTTTATTGTTCCAGCTTGTCGCAGCCAGAAATCATTACTTTTTTTTTTCCCTAAGATGCTTGTGAAATTTTGCTTTTTCCAGGTCACTGTATATGCGTATAGTTAATGGCACTTAAATAAGAGCTTTGACTTTTGCTTGTGATTGTTGCAGTTTGTATTTCAGCTTTGTACAAGTTGCCTTAATGATGACGATGGTTTTGCAGCATTAAGAGTTTTAATTAGACATTTGTCAAATCATCTAACAAGCTTTGCTCAATAACTTTGTCCCGTGCATTCAGTAACTCACTGCTTACTCGCTGAGTGATTTTTTTCGGCTGCTTAATTTCCCTCCACTCGTGGAGGAGAACGCGCACACACATAAAGGGAATCTGTGCTGCAAGACAATCTGTGTGTTATGTGGATGCAACTGATTTCCTCTGCATTCTCTCATGCTGTTAGCTATAATAAATTGGATTTCAAATTGTGTCAACGGAGCTTTTTAGTGTTTTCTACAGAAATAAAAGAATGTGCTGTTGAACCACTTGAGTAAATGTTTATGCTTTTAATACCTGGGAGATTTACTTGTCAGACCACTTCTCTCTTTCGGCTGTCCTTTCAGTAACCATATATTATATTTGTCCTATGTTAAGCCTGTGAGACATTCACCTCTCTGCTCTCTTCACTCCTGTTTAGCTGAGGAATGCCTGGCTGATGGGGAGAGCTTCCTTGTTCCCATAGCTGTCGGAGTTGCCCTGCTTGTTCTCATTCTTATTGTTCTGCTGGCCTACTTCATCGGAAGAAGGAGAAGCATGGCCACCGGCTATCAGTCTTTCTAATTTCTCATTTAGAGCTTTCAGCTA